GTAAAAGGCAATCAGGTTGGTCTGACATGACCAGCCCCTAATGAAACCATGCTGGTTGCCCTTGAGCATCATCCCCGATGCCGGCCCATCACAGATGTGCTCCTTGATGATCTTCTCAAAGAGTTTCCCCAGGATTGAGGTAAGACTGACGGGCCTATAGTTGCCCGGGTCCTCCCTCCTCCCTTTTTTAAAGATGGGGACCACATTGGCTATCTTCCAATCATCTGGCACCTGGCCTGAGCACCACGAGCGCTCGTAAAGCCGTGACAAGGGCCCTGCAATAACCCCTGCTAGCTCCCTCAACACTGGGGTGGAGAGCATCTGGACCTGCTGATTTGAACACATCCAGCCCCTCCAGAAGCACTCTAACCCAGTCCTCCTCAACCTTAGGTCTTGAGGCATTCCCCTTAAGTTCATCTTGAATCACAGTTGGGGAGTCCCGATCCCTGCACAAGAAAACAGAGGTGAAGAATTTGTTAAAGAGGTCTGCCTTCTCATCTGGTGCAACCACCAGATCGCCCAGCGTATCTTGCAGGGGCCCCACATTTCCCCGGTGCCTTCTTCATCCTTCCTATATATTTGAAAAAGGACTTTTTATTATCTTTGATCTTGGACGCTAGTCCTAGCTCTATGTCTGCCTTAGCTTTCCTAACAGCCTCCCTTCAGGCCCGAGCAGTGGAGGTATACTCTTCTTTGGATATAGCCCCCTCCTTTCACTGGGTGTACGCCGCTTTTTTGGCAACCAGGCATTCTCGGACATTCTTGGTGAGCCAGGGAGGCTTTTGGGCACTCTTGCCCCCTTTGCTTCTTGTTGGGATCATCACCCCTTGGGCCCTGAGTATCTTCTCCTTAAGGAACGACCACTCATCTTGGGCACTGAGTTCCCCTGCCCTCGAGAACCCCAGCGCCTCTCCCACCAATCTCCTCAACTCGTTGAAGTTGGTCCTCTTGAAGTCTAGGGCTACTGCCTTGCTGCAGGCCCTTGACACCCTGCGCTGGATGGTGAATTCCAGCAAGCGATGATCGCTATCATCCAGATGGTCAAGGACCTGGAGCCCCCTTACCAGATCATCGCCTGTGGCCAGGACCAGGTCCAACAGAGCATTTCCTCTGGGACTGTGCACCTCCTGGGTTAAGTGGAGGTCCTGTATCTCGGCCAGGAACCTCCTGGAAAAGTCCAACCTGGCTGACTGCTCCTCCCAGCAGATGTCCAGGTAGTTTAGATCACCCATGACAACTACATCCCTTGCCTTAAGTGCCTCTGCAAGCTAGCCTGAAAATTCCTGGTCCAGCTCCTCCCCTTGTTTGGGGGGTCTGTAGTAGACCCCCACCGTTAAATCCCTCTCCCCATGACCCCCTTGTATCTTGACCCAGAGCACTTCAGCTTGCCCCTCCTCCAACCCCATTTTGCTGGCAGAGGATGTGTATTGCTCTTTGGCATAGAGTGCCACCAAGATGAGATGGAGTGCACCCTCAGTAAGTCTGCAGGTGATACCAAGCTGGGGGGAGTTGTAGATACACTGGAGGGTAGGGCTAGGATTCAGAGTACTTAGACCAATGGGAGGATTGGGCCAAAAGAGATGTCATGAAGTTCAACCAGGACAAGTGCAAAGTGCTGCACTTAGGACAGAACAATCCCATGCACTGGTGCGGCCGGGGGCTGGCTGGCTGGCTGGGCAGCAGCTCTGCAGAAAAGGACCTGGGGGTTATAGTGGACAAATAAGCTGGATATGAGCAGTGTGCCCTAGTTGCTAAGAAGGCTAATGGCATACTGGGCTGCATTGGTAGGTATGTTGCCCGTTTATTCCCCTATATTTCGTACTGATCATAGTATCATAGAAAATTAGGGTTAGAAGAGACCTTAGGAGGTCATCTAGTCCAACCCCCTGCTCAGAATAGGACCAGCCCCAACTAGATCATCCCAGCCGAGGCGTCATCTAGCCAGGTCTTAAACACCTCTAAGAAGACTCCACCACCTTTCTGGGTAACGTGTTCCAGTGTTTTACTACCCTCCTAGTGCAAAAATTCTCCCTAATATCTAACCTAAACTTCCCTTGTTGCAACTTGAGACCGTTTTTCCTTATTCGGTTATCTGCTGCCACTGAGAACAGTTTCTAGCCCCATCCCTTTGGAACCCCCTTCAGGTAGCTGAAGGCTGCTATTAAATTCCTCCTCCGTCTTCCCTAGACTAAATAAGCCCAGTTCCCTCAGCCTCTACTCATATCATTGCCCTGGCCCCTGAACCATTTTCATTGCCCTCCATTGGACTCTCTCCAATTTGTCCACATCCTTTCTGGTGGGGGGAAGGGAAGGGGAACATATTAGTAAAGCTTCTAGTTTCTCTTTAATTAGAAAAAATGGGTATTGTGTTATGCAATGATGCACTGCACAATCTGCATCCTCCTTTTAAAAATCTAGGTTCCCCCCATGTGTTCAGAGTCTTCAGGGACACTGGACTTAGGGCTTGGCTTGCAGCCTGACAACTTCTCAACCCAGTGCAGTCTTCTGGATGGAATTGTTGCTGGGGGGGTGGGCATTCAGAGTATCAAGTAGGGCTCGAGGGGACCAGAGGTCACCCAGTACCTCTGCCTGAGGCAGGGTCATCCCTATCCAAACCATCCCATACTCATGCATTGTTTCACCTAACCAGCTTATTCTTGGCTTCCCTCAGCCCAGAGCTGCTGGGAAAACAGAGGGCAAAGATCTGGCTTCTATCTGTTCTGATGTAGGATGGTGGAGGGATGTCCAGTGGCCCGACGGTGCCTTTTAGGGATGTCCTACTCCCAAGGGTCCTATTGCCAATATGGCATGTCAGGTTTTTTTGCAAAACCAAGGGGGCAGGCATGGCCTGTGCAGAGAAGGGGAAGTAGGAAAGCCACTGATTTTGAACCCCCAATGCAAGGGGGCATTGAGAATAGGTTTAAATCATGTGCCATATGTTATTGTATGTCAGGGTCTTTTGCTTAACACTGAATAAGCTGCACTAGGATGGTACATGAATTTTCAATAACCCCTTAGCACCCCTGGGTGCCAACTACTTCCTCCTGGCAGCAGCAGGACGTTGACAGTGCCATCCTGCTTTACCTGGAGGAAGTTAAAGGGTATTTTCCATATTTTAGGCACTGCACTTGGTAGCTGTGTACATGTGTTTGTTCCCAAGATTTTTAAGAGCAGGTTTGACAAACACTTGTCTGGGCTGGTTTAGGCAAGGGTGATCCTGCCTTGAGCAGAGGGTTGACTTAGGTCAAGATTCTCAACATTTTTAGACTCAAGACTTCCGTCATTAGACTCCAGGCAGCCCTCAGGAAATGCCAGCTTGTAGGTT